GAGAGAGTAGAGAGAGAGAGAGAGAGAGAGAGAGAGAGAGAGAGAGAGAGAGAGAGAGGGGGGGGATCAGATTGGACGAACGGGAGGAGGATTTCTTCCTCTTCCCAGACTTTTCATAGTCCCTTTCCGTGGGCGTCCCACGGACAAAGGCTCGGTCATACATAGAGAACGATCGGAAGGCTCGGCGTGTGGCGATAATTGGAGCGTTTATGTTGGGTGTCTTCTCGAAATAGTAAAGGTCGATCATCGCGATGGCGCTGCTGCGACCCGCGATGCGGTACACACGACCGACACACTCGTTAACGTTAGCTTAGGTCGGGTTACGTGGGTGGCATTTAGCCATCGCAGCTAAGTCTACGACGTGGATTTATGGGCTATACAGCCGCTCCCTCCCCTCCCCCCCTCTCTTTCCCCCATCGCGCGCGTCCGTTCTTCAACAGCGAATGAATTTGCTCTATAGCTCTTCGATGTTTTTTTCGCGCGAATCGAGAAAACCTCAAGATGAAATGGGAAAGTAGTCCTAGATTGAATCGTTTCCTTCCGAACGGCAATTATTTTTGCAAAAGGTGGAAATAAAATTATCTCTCTAGGCGATCTATCTCTCTTCGCATTAATATTTACTTTGAAAGTGACTTGTGCTAAAAATTAGACTCGGTTTATATATCTGGTTACCGTATTTATATCTATCGTAACGAGATATGATATCAACGCTCCACTTGATTCAAATAGTTCGACGTGACGCAATGCCGTAACTTATCACTGACCCTGAATTCTATCTTAGGTGAGATTAATGTCAATGTGTGTGAGAGAGAGAGAGAGAGAGACGCGGGCAAAGAGAGACGGAAAGATCAGTTTCATACTTGATTCGTCGTATTTCCATTTCGTTACGTAAAAGTCAGACCGTTGCATTTTTTACGAAGTAAAACTTCCACTTCGTGTACGCAGTTAGATTTGTGCGTGCTTGATAAGTTATACATTTGATATTCGGTGGCTAATCAGGGCAGACCAGATTTCATCGATATATCGAGTATCTTATCGGGCCCCGACGCACTTTCGA